TNTATATATATATATATATATATATATATATATATATATATATATATATAGTCGTGCCAAAAAATGATCTTTATTTTCCTCTTTTCTTCTTTTTTTTTTTTCTTTTATATTTACATTAAAGCTTAAAAAACGGTCGGACGATATCGTGCAACGCTTCTCATTTCTCGGCTTCGATGAGATTGGATTAAATGAGTGCGGAAAGTATGAAAGGATTACGAAAATCAATTTTCTCAACGGAACAACGCACGTTCGAAAACTTCGACTATTAAATTTCACGGGCGAATAATTAATTTAACGACGCCAAACACGTAGCTAATTCATTCAACCGGAGTTTCATCGAAGAAAACAAACATGCAAAATTAAGGAACTTGATAATACATTATTTGATTGTTAGAAATAATCATATGTAAATTCCTCGGTCTGTAACACTTTCTCAATTAGATTAATGTTTTGAACATAACCTCTAACGAGAGATTTTTTTAAGTTACATTTGTATAAATTTTTAAGAAATCCGATACTTTTTAAATTGCGTTAATATTTTGAATTTGATCATCAATGAAAAATTTTTATAGATTATGTAAAAATATGTAAAGAAATGAACTTTTAGAAAATCTACAATTATTTATTCGGTAAGCGAAAATTATTAATGATTTATTGAATGAAAAAAATTTGTAAATATAGATTAAGTTTTTATAAAATATAAAGTAAAAAATTTTATAGATTATGAGAAGTTTTTGAAAAGTTTAAAATACATATATATTTATTTATCTGGAAAGGAAAATTATTAAAAATTTATAATCAATCAATTTTTATCTTCCAAAAAATTACTTAAACTTGAAAACTTATTAATTTAAATCATTTTTCAATTTGTTTTAAGAAATTAATTTTTATTAATTTTCAATTAAAGCTTTAATTTCATGTTTTTTCTCAAAAAAGTTTTAATTTATGCTCAATTAGCATTTTATATATCAAAATGAATGTACAAGAACATATGTATAATTATATATATATATATACATTTATCAAGCTTTAATGTATGTTAAATATTCCTAAATTAGCCAATTTTTCATTTAAATTATATTTTTATATGAAGAATTATAGTAATCTTCAATAATTTATTATAAAACATGCAATTTCTTTACAATTAATATTACTATTAAAAATTTATAATAAAAGACTTTAGAATTTTCATTAAAATGGCGCGAAAAATATTAGCAATTAATTCAGATGGCCATTACAGTCAGGCTGGCTCATTTTTTGCAATGTCCTTATAAAAGATATACTTTTAATCGGTTTTGCACGATGAAAGCTGCATACTGGAGAGGTTAAAAACGCGACTCCCAGCTCCGAACATTACGTACACTAGATCCGATGGAATCTCGTTCAATTAGTGCAATTAACTATTCGAGAGCGCGTAGGTGAGACTCGAGTGCCGTGTAAAAATGCAAAATTGGATTAAGCGCCGGTGAAAGGACCATTAGAGGGGAGATATTAAAAGTTAGCGACGGCTTTAGTTACTGCTATCAGAAAGCACGAGTGTGAAAGGGGCTTGAAAATGGTGGCGGACTCAAAGCCGTGAACATCATTCGTTCGATATTCGATAATAATGAAATATGTTCGAAAAATGGGGGGGAAAAGGTAAGCAATTATTATTTACTATGTTTTTTTTTAATACTAACATTGTAAAGATGATAATAACGACATAGAGAATTTTTTAAGATAACGAAATTCTAACCTATTTTTTAATATCTAACCTAACTTTAAAAAGTTTATTTTAAATTCCACTTTTTAATAAAAGTTCCGTATATATATTTATATATAGAATATCATACGTTCTTTTTTTATATTTTTAAGGAATATTTTTAAAAGAATCTAATGAAAGTAAAATGATTTTTGTTTGTTACTGATAATGTTTCAGACAATATTCAAAGATATTTGTTCATGGATAAGATAATGAAAATGTCAAGTAAAAGAGAGCATAGCATTCGATTTCTGTGTGGTTTATTATTTATATAAATGCATGTAAAAGCTTATAAATTCTTGAGGAAGCAGCCAAAAATATACTCTTCTTAACAAAGAAAATCCAGCGACAATATCGCCGAAAAGTTTTGAATTATTTGCTCTTTAGAATTTCTTGATTTCTACTTGATTACTAATTACTATCAATCTCTTTTATATGTTATTATATATATTGCTTATTATGTAAAATAATTTTAAAATATGTTTTATATTTACATATTGTTAAACAGTTGATTTAGAAATTTATGATCAAAAAGGTTATTTAGTTGAATAGAAGTTAACATAGAATTACTATTAATAAAAAACTTTTTGAGTTTTCTATTTTTGCAATTATTAAAAATATATAAGAGACTTTTGACAAATTGAATTAATTTGACATTATTGTTGATCTTTGTTGAAATAGAGAATTAATTATATGTATATTTAAATATATGGTTATTTTTATTATAAAACTTTGATTGTTATTAATTATGATGGACATAGACATAATAAAATTTAAATTTTTTGGCAAAATTCTTCCCAAAAATTAAATCTTCCATATAATATATTCCAACACTCCTATATTTTTTTCTTTTCTCAAACTTCTTTTACCAACTTCAACAACAAAAACTTCTAGAACATATTCACCTTAAAACTCAAGCATTTGATTCTCCCTACAGCATTTGAATCTCAATCATTTATAACAATCTCATCATTTTTATACTATTTTACTGTCTGAAAATTTGTTGAATTTATTTTCATTCTTAATTTTCACTATCCAAATATTTATTCAAATGATATATGATTATGTTATTTTTATTAATTGTAAATTAGAAATGCATTGATATTTAAAAATTATCTATCAATTAATTATCAATCAATATGTCCTGTGATTATTATCTACTTCCTTTTACTTTATTTCATCTCCTTAATTACTTTACTTCTCTGTTATAACTTAGTTCTATTATTACTACTTATTACTAGTATTTTTCACTGTTACATTTAGAAAAAAAAATGATGATTACAGTGATAGTGAATAATAAATTTGATAACTATGAAAAATTTCTTCCATATTTAATACATGGATAATGGCTTATAATACATTCCTAACTTGTATACTAAAGTTCTGGGAGATGAGAATCCACATGAGATGCTTTTCCCTAGTGAATGAAGATATATCTGTAATACATTTAATTCTCAATGACTAATTCATAGGCAATTGAGTGGATTTGGATTTTAAAGGGATGTTTGCGAAATAAGTCAATAATAACATGATTTATCAAATAATTATCTAATACCAATTATGATTATCTTTTTTTTGATTGGACATATTAATTCTTATATGTTTCTTATCACAAGATAAAAATATGTTTACCAAAAGTATCAATTTTCTAATAATTTTAACTAACAACTAAATTTTAAGAATATCTTTGTATCTATATCATTGTTCAACTCAATCAACTTTTATTATTTTCATTTTTCTTTAAACCTATTTAAATTATGTAATAAAAATCTGAATTTTTTCAAAATTTTTTTCAAAAAATCTAGAACATTGAAGGAAATGGCCATAAAACTCTTACAATCTTTGAATATGAAATCAATTTGATCAAATGACCAATTTCCATCAAACAAATCTCTAAAAGATTGATATTTCTTTACTATATAGAAAATAACTTGTTTGTCGATAATCCACCTGCCATTCAACTCTTCACTTCTCAAGGATTAAATAAACAAACCTACAAGTGAATGTTAAAGATTCGACAATAGCAAAAGTAAAGAATCGCTTTCAAGTTTCTTGTTTATCAGAAAGCTGCTGTGTCATGGCTTTACAATAACATATCTCTCTCTCTCTCTCGCTCTCTCTCCCCCCCCCTCTATCCTAAGCTCCTCTCCTCGTCTGCATTTTGGCCTCTCCGCGAAAGCCTCTCTCGTTCCTCTCTCGTCGCCACAGGCCTGCACCTCCAATGCACTCGTGGAAATGCAAGACGTTCCATCTGTATGTACGCATGGAGCTGCATCGTCCAGTGAATATACAGTATCCACCCTTGGTTGTGTCAAGAGGGTTGTGTAGGCACTTCTCGAGAGAGTTCTCTCGTAGAGACGTTGCCGGAGGGTTGCGCGCCTAGGCAAGGGCAAGGGCATCCAAACAAAAGATATCAAAGGAAGAACGCCATCGAGACTCTTGAATAAAGAACAGGAGACGCGGCGAGATAGAGATGGGAGAGCTGTAGCAGAAACAGGAAGACGCGGAAAGATGCCAGGGTTTCCTTCTCTGCACCGCGTGCAGAACTGATGCCCTCCTCAATATCTTTTCCACCTTTCCTATCTGATACCCTTCTATTTTTCTTTGTTCGAAAATTCAACCGCCTAGTTTTTCATCTCCTGGAATTATTTATACGTAGGAGACGTGGATTCTTAGAGCTTTATCCTCTTGTATTATCGTGTTGAAATTCTTGGAGAATGCTGGTTGTAAATTTTGCACTTCTTCGATTCTAGATATGTGGCAGTATATGGTAAAAGAATTTTAAAATTTTCTTTAATATATATATATATATATATATATTCGTGACAAATAGAACTATATGTATATGCTTAAATATGCATATGGTGAATAATATCATAATCAAAGATGAAAAAATTAAGATATGTATTTCAATAATATATGTTGTTGTTAGTTGAAAGTTTGAAGTCACTAATATATTTCATAGAATCAGAAAAGAATTCATAAGAATTGTAAAAATAATAATAATAATAAAAAAATTGCAGAGTACGTTTCCAAATAGTTTAATTCCTATACAAAAATAATACGTGATGATTGTAAACACGTAATTAATTTGATTATTAACAGCACAAATTGATAGGATTAAACAAACTACACAGATACCATTGAATATGCAACAAGTAAATATTGTACGAGGCAATTAATATGTCACGAAATATGATATAAATTTCCTATATTTAGCTTTGAATTAATTTATGTCCCTATGTTAACGAAATATTTTAATAAACAGGGCATCAATAACACAAATATAATCTCGATATTATATTGCTGAAATTTCAAGAATGTATCGAAATTTTCTGGATTAGAGGAACGGAAGATATCTTAATTCATGCATAAGCAAGTATGCTTTTGCGATCTTAACCGATCTTAACCGATCTTAACCGATCCCATCCGAATTTTTCCGAATCATTCCGAAGTTCAAATCACGAGACGATTTCACGCATCCCTAATCGAAATACGTTGAATATGCAACGATTCACGCGTCGTGAGGTAATCGATGAATCCTAATTCATGAGACGAGGGCCTCGAGGCATAAACTGTGAAAGGGGAAATCACGACGCCGTTCGGATTTCCTGAAGTGTTCTAAAAGGCGATGATAACTATTTTATTGAAATAAAATTCTTACGATTATTTATCGAATTCGTTTATCGTATATTTTAAGAAAAAAGTCATTTATCATAATCTCATTTAGAAAAAATATTTACCATGTTGTAAGTTATATAGATATGATGAATGGAATATTGAAAATATAGAAAAAGTGTAAAATTCATCAATCAATTTCAATTACTTTCATAAATAAAAATTCTCTTTATTTGATTTTTTTTTAATAGAAAATAATCTATAATTAAATTAAAAATATTAAAATAAAAAAAAAGGGAAAAAAAATAATAATGAAAAAAAATCGAAGAGATCTGCATACGAAAATTTTTGCAGTTCAATAATTCCAACGATATTTTAACGTGGAACACGATTTTTTAAAGCTATTCTCTCTCAAATACCGTGAAGTATCAACGTTGTTTTAAGGCAGAATTTTTTTTTAGTCAATTTACATTCACTGAATTCTGCTTTTTAATATCATGGTGATTTCATGTGAAATGAAATGTCAAGAATTTATTTTAATATTTCTTTCGCTTTCGATTTTTCTTTTTCCTTTTTCCAGAAATTTTCATTCTACTGATTTTATAAATTCTCTCTAAAAAAGAAATTTAAAAAAAAAAATTGCTAAATAAATAATTTTTTATATATTCACAATTTAAAAACAAATTTACACAATTCTATTCATCGTATGTGAAAATTAATCAAACTAACGTGATATTATTGTATTTACTTTATGCAAGCTATAACTGCAAATGTGTTCAAGATAATAAAAGCAACACAGGTAACAGTATTACAAAACAAGTTAGGTACAATTTAATGCCTTGTCCCAAAAACCGTTTAAACCAGCCGTGTTACATCGTGTCTTGAAATTCACGGAATTTATAATATTATTCGCGGTGAAATTTCGAAATATTCATCGCGGCTATGCCCGTTTCGTGTTTTTCGTGTCGTGCATCCATAAAGGAATGAAAATGTTGCAGCTGCAACACTTATTCCCTAGAAAAATTATCTTTCTACGAAATTTCTCTGTTAAATCATTATGGACCGAGCAATGAAGTAATGTTATAAAGTTACGTAATTGAAAGTACTTAAGATAGACACAGCCTTTGGAAAAATTATTTCGATTTCTTTCATTTTTATCATATCACGCGAAAAGAACTTGAAAGGGAAATTGTTAATAAAGAAAAAAAAAAAATGAACGAAAAAAAAATAAATCGAATTAAAAATTTCTGTGAAGAAAATTAATTATTTCCTTCTGATTGATTTCTCGTTGCACGATAAAGTAAAACAAAAAAAGAAAAAAATGAAATAAAATAGCCGGTAAAATTTGAGAAAAATATCAGTGAACTTACATATTTATCAATTTTTAGACAAAATTTCTCACCATACTTGGAAGAAAAATTAAATATTAATTATCGTTTCCTGTCAATCTTATTAAATTTCATCGCATATAAAAAAAATCAAGATAAAAGAAACGAAATTTACAGAAACGAAGTAGAAGAAATTCTTATGCCATTTACATTTGCATAAAAAATTAAATATTTTTGCGGGACGATTAATAATTCAGGGAGATCAATTGCACCGAGCGAACAATTTCTGTGACATTTCTGAGAAAAGAAGGGGGGAAGGGAAAATATCATGCCATCAGGAAGGGATTTACGAAGCGTAAAACTCTCGTCTATATAACAGAGAAAACATCAATCACCACGAGGTTATCCACGATTAATTTAAATTACCATCAAGCAAGAGTAAGATCATAAATTCGCTGCACAGCATTTAACCACGCAGTCATTATCCCTCTACTGCATCCAATTTCTCCTGTAATCACGTCAATATAGAGGTGTACGCGGAATCTAATTCTGGCTAGGTAGAGCTAGTTTGATAACGTATCAGGGCAGAGACTAGGCAATCGAAGAGCTGGGTCAAGTCGATATACAACTATATAATTGAAGACAGAATTTACTCTGTTGGAAGACGTGTCATCAAACAGTTTGTAAAAGGGGACTGTTTTAACCAGAGGAGCAAATGTGTCTGTGCTTATACGTGTCTTATGTATCAAAAATAGTGGTCAATAGATGATAATCTAGGGGTATCGTGAAATTTTATCTATCTTTGTATTTTATCTGTTGATATAGGTCTCACAATATTTAAAAAAGAGAAAGAATAATTTTTGGAAATTAAAAAAGGTATATTTCATAGATAGTATTATTATTATTATTATTATTATTATTATAAGTCAGAAATAGTAAATTTGATAGAGTACCAATATTGATCAATATTATTTTAAATAAATAAATTGTAAAAATTTTATTGCAATTGTGATAATAGATCTTATTCTCTGCATCATTAAAATCATTACTCACTTATTGATAAAAATCATTCTGGATTTCATCCTATTGTTCTAAAGATTATTGCAGATAAAATTTTAAAATTGTTTCCTTCTTGGTAAACTTTATTCGAGTTGTGTAACAAATCTCAAAAGAATAATGCTATTACTATCGTGTTTCATAATACTCGCCACTTTGGAAGTTGATATTGTACGTTAGTGGAACCGAAAATTAAAAATTTGAACTCCTACGGTCTGGAAGACCTTCAAATATTGACAAGGATGTTTGGCAATGGAAGAGGCACGGTTGGCAGCAATGGACATCGTAAAGAGGTTTAGAGTACCGTGTTCAACCAGTTTGGAATACGTCCACAACTTTGAATCAGTGTATTCCAGTTTTCTAGTGCTTGAACTAAGCGAAAATAATACGGCTAATTTTACATACTCGATCAGTCTTCGATAATCTATCCGAGTGATTTAATCTTAAAAGTAACCTTTTTAATCCTAAACGTTCATTTTCAATTCGAATACGAGAATTGCATACACTTCAATAATATTTTAAACAATACATTCTAATTTATGAACCAAAAAATATGTATTTTTCACTTTTCATAGTGTGACACTTAAGATAAAAATGTTAACTAGAAACAAAGAAGAGATTTTGGAAAATATAACATTTCAATTTTTTAAAAAGATTTGAAAATACGAAACTTCTTAATAAATCTATAAAAAGGAGAAAAGAAAAAGAACACGAAGATTTCCTATATAATTATTTTCTTTGAGAGTCGCCATTTTTTCTTAACCTCATTTATATATATACATATGTATATATGAAAGATTATAAAAGTAAAATCACATTGCATACGGAACGAATTTATTATTTTAATAATTTTTGTAATTTTTGTTGTAAAACTTTTGCTTGTAAATATTTCGCTTACGTATAATATCGATTATTCATCGAAGCGAAGTTCGATCAGCATCGTAAGTCATCACCCGTCATAAAATAGTGTGTCGTCAATTGACTGGATCGATCGGCCTCGAACTCTCCTCCCAGCCGACGTTTAGGCGCCAATCGGCTCGATGGAATTGCCAATTTACTAGAACACGTGATTTCTTAATTTTTTTTTTTTTCCCTTAGTCAATCTCTCTCGGCTCATTGTACAATGAGGGTTATGAATTCTGATGAACATCCTACCGTTGATTTTTTAAATCGACGGTAATGAACAGTTCGATGGAAGTCTGTTATCTATCACGTGTTGATCATAAGATCGTTTTAATCTATATATTAATATTAGATCACATATCGACGTTTACGATTGCATCTCATGAATCCAAACAATGGAAAATGGAAATATCTTATAATATCATGTTATTTTAATTATAATATTAATATCCATTTGAAAGTTGTGATGGTATTTCTTGTAAAATTTAATTGAATAATAATAAGCATACTTGAAAATAATCACAAAATGGTATTAATGTTACGTGTGTTTGCGTTACATACATCGACGATCGAACTTTTGAATATTATAAACTGTCAAAATAACGGTATGTGAAGAAACGATTCAAAATGCAACATTTGGAAATTTCTTCGCCAGGTGGCAGCATCAATCAAAATGTTGAGCATATATTTCTGTATATAGTAGATGTTAATAAGATTATTCGATATATATTATTTCAATAATTAAATATAATAGGTATATAGAATATAATCAAATAAGATATATAAATAAATCAAAAAGAAAAGAACAAAATTTTTTCGTTTGAGGTTTCGTTTTCGAATGTATTAAATTAAAAAAATTTTTCAATAACAATATTTTAAAATATTACGACTTAAGAAAATAATTCATAAATGTTTAATACAGAAAATACTTAATATAACTTTTTAAGTCAACTGGGAGTTTGGTTATTGACTGAACGACTTGCGTCAAGGGAGATCAAGCGAGCGAAATAAATGTCAATTATATTGTGCAACGATATACAATGAAACGGTTTTACAGACTTTATAAATCGTCGCTCGATAAAGAAAAGGTCGAAGTCAAAATAGCACGATACATTTGGATTTTAAAGATAAATATATGACTTCTAAACATTTTCGTAATAATCAACACTTTCGAGTATTGCGATTGTTTTAACAAGACTTAAATCGGTTCAAAGCAACGTGGATCTATTATCTGAAGGTTAAAAATAAAGAAAGAATAATTAAAAAGCGTAAAGCACATTAAATAGAAAATAAAGATAATTATAAGTTTCAAATGTTATCAGTTAATGATATATGACGAAGAAAATGATATATTTATTTTAACTTTCAATCTTTTTTTTCTTTCATTCACTATGATTATGACTTTTCTATTTGACAAAATAATTAAAAAATTTGTAGCTTTGGTCGAGCTACATTGATCGATCATATTTCAATTATTTCATAAATGTCCGATTGAGAATATTTCTAATTTATTTATTTGACTTTTATTGTACAATATCTGTTTAACGTCTACAGCCTGAAAGATCGAAATCGAATGCTTCTTGGGTAATGAATTTCTAAGAAGTCATCGATATGTACCCGATATATAAACAAACGATAAAGATGGGTGTCAAATTTCATTCGGCAGTTTATCTCATTCGGCACGCTCGATTCTCACGTTTATTTCTAAGGATAAGTAACAAAAATTGGTAAGTTAACAAAAATTCGTTAATTGGTTAGGTTGGATTATAATGAACAATTACATCTCTTTTTTAAGATATTCTTTACGAAGAAAATTAAAATGAATTAATAGTGACGATATATTACATAATACATTAACTGATTATAAATCTGAGATTTTTATTTTATAAATCGATCGTAATGAATCTCTGATTAATTAGCCGGTCACTCGAAGGCAGATGGTCCCCATCGCAAAGAGATATCTCCATGCTGATCGGGTACGCGAACAACGAAGCCAATATGATCTCATTGAAGCCTATTACGAGGCTTTATGGATAGCGTCCTCTTATACAGCGAAATTGGTTTCAACGATGCCCAATCGGTGGCAAGTGCACACCACCGAGAAGAATAAGAACTTAATTGCTCTGCATCCAAGGCTAAAATGTCTCTCCTCTGTCTTTCAACCGGTTAAATAAATTGGGTCACGACCCCGTTTAAAAAGAACCTTTAGGCTAGCAAGAAGAATCAAACAGTTCACACACAGAATCGAGTTGCTTCTCTTTTGCTTGATTTTTCGAATTAATGTGCCTTTCTCTATTGTCTATTTAACGCTTCGGTCGTCATTTTTGTTCGAATGTATTGTACCAGAATGTATTGGACGAAACATTTTATCAAAAGTAGTGGATGTTACTGAAAATTTTTTATTTAATGTTAGAAGAATGACTATTATAATATTGTTTATAGATTTTATTTATTTATTTTTTGTTTCATTTTCATATCCTTGATAGAATATATTATATAATTTGAAATTATAAAAGTTTCTAAAAAAATTTTGGACTAGTTCCAATAATTTTTGTTGATATGATTTTGTTTATGATATGCCAATCTCGGAACTATTTTTAACTTGAAAGTCATTTAAAGATCATAAAAATTTTAATATGGATTTCAAAAACGATTTTTACAAATTTTTAATATTGCATACTTGGTAAAAGTATTTGGAAACTTATTGTGATAGTTGAAACATGTTAATTTTATATTTCCTGAATGAATATATCACATATACTCTGTTCCTTTGATGTCAAACTAACCTTAATGGCATATTGGAATTTATCATCATCCTAGTTGTAATGTAATATAATTGCAAATTTTCTATTTCATAATCACGTTTAAGAAATATTGATATTCTAAAATATAAAATTATTTAAAAGAAAAAAACAGCATAAAAATTGCAATCGAATTTTGTCCAAACAATTCCAAGAAAAAAGAGATTAAACTTTTCAATCGATGATAATCTCGATACTTCTGTTTTAGTTTGAATACTTTCTTGAATGATTTCAAAACGATCTGGGCATTCAATTCCGCCTCTTAAGCTCCTCCTTTTCATGGATATGGTCGATAAAACGGTCGCGTTCGCTCACTCAAAAAGGTTGTGATGACCGCTAGGGCCTGGTACACAGGCAAGCATCACACCCAGGTTGAGTGAGTCCACGTGACCGCCATTTTCGAGATGCTCCTCCAATAATGTCCAATTCTAACGATTACATCGTGGGTTCTTTACGTTATTGCCCTTTAAAGATGTTCTTCTGTTCTTCAATACTCAATCTATTAACTCTTTATTTGCCAACATTTTTCAACAAATAAAATGGCTTTTGTGCCAGATACACACAAAACCATCCAGATTTATATATTCATCAAATTTATATATAAAATTCTAAGTTAAAATAAATAAAAATATTTTGAAATCAATTGATATATCATTTTTTAAATTGATATACGGTTTCACTGCATCTATGAGACAAAATTTGATATTTTGAGAAATCTTCTTTTCCATATAGATAATTTTATGAAATGAAAACTTTCAGTTTAATATTATGAGGTTTAATGTAGCTTTAAGTAACTTAAAGATGTATGAAAAATTACAGGCTCGAGACGAATCGGTAAAATTCGGATGAAATCGACCAAGATCGTAAGTTGAGCGATAATCTTCGACTTCGGGTCAGCTCGGCAATAATCGTGCATGATCGGTTCGCTCGTGAAATATAAGCAAGAAACTATATGCATTTATATATATTCTTATTTGAAGATCGAATTTAACAAATCAATTTAATAAAAATTTATACGTTATTGCACATTTATACATAAATAGATTTTCGAAACTTTAATCGACTAATCAGTATTATTATATATACTATTTATAATTTACAAGAATAACCACAAAATTGCCAAAGAAATTCTATCGATATCGAGGTAAGACGAGCAATTTCGCGCATACGTCTGAACACCACGTTTCAACCGCTTATTCATTCTCTGACCAGGATACCACTTATCCTTTAGGAAAGGGTCATTTTGTAGATTCAACGGTATTTTCCAAGGACCGTAGACCGATCTGCTTAGTTCACTCTTAACGCGTGAGCGCGCGTCAAACAAGCGAACGAACAGGCATTCCGCTGTAATTTCCGCCATGGGAAATGCAACTGAATTTCGTCGAGTGTGCGACGAGCGTACGGAATGACGAATGTGCAGAACAGACTAAGGATTGGTGGCTAAGGGGATTACTTAAGCTTTCAAAGGAAACGACGTAATCGAAAACTTCCAGAAGATGAAGAAACGAAATAAAAATGGAAAATGATGAGAGGAACGAAAAAGATAGATTAAGATGCTTATGCAAAATGTCTACGAATTCGATTAAAAAAAATAAAATTTAAATTATTTTATATAAATAATACAGCAATGAGATTTTGGTGATTGAGAAATAGAGTCGTAAAATAATAATTGAAAAGAATTCTTTAATTTAACTTGCAACATAGAATAAAAAAAAAGATTAAAATCTCTACTCTCTCACATCTCTATATTATTGTTATACAAATAAATGCCAAGATATGCGAAATAATATACAAAAAAGAAAATAAGAAACGAAAGGGAAATTTTCGATAAGACGAAATACGCAAAATGCGCGAAAAAAATCGATTTTTGTGGTGACGAAATAAGCGGACAGGAAGCAGACAAACGAGGTCGAGGCTCGAAAAGCAGAGGAAAACACGGGCAGCTGAAAAGAGGACAAGAGTCACGGGTAAGAAAAGGGTCAACACGTATTTGTCCACGCTTTGCCTGAAGATAACAAGACTGAGGGATAATAGAAGCCGCGAAAGGACGTTTCGTTGGAAATGCCTCTTTAAAAGGCACGGTTTAAAATGGATTACAGGAGATCGGCCAAGTAGTTCCTTCTCGAAATTTACAAAGAAATATTTAATCGTGGATTAATTTCTCTTTTGAATTCATCAACGATAATCTTCTTTTCACGGATCTTTTACAATTTAACCTTTTCAAATGTTTGTAATATTATATATATTTACTTGTGTCTATATAATTATAAAATGCTAAATAAATGAATTTAAATATTTCATTAATTCTTATATAATTTTACTTTTGATAAATAAATCCTTTAAAAACATAAAA